CATTGTCCACCCATGTTGATACCCAGCTTCAGAGATTTCATTGAAGTTGCCAAAGTCCAGAATGCAGTAGCTGTCAATGGGGGAGGGGGGCTCAGATAGTCACAGTAGTCACTGTTCACCATCTCCAGCTCCTGGACACAGCGCAGACAGGGCAGATGGGATTGAATCTCAGCCATATTCAACACCTTGACATTTGTGGCAAAGGGATTCCAGCATTTCCAAAGCAGCCACCACCCAGACAAGGCATCACCATAGTTGGTGAGGTCTGTCTCATCCCAGCTGCCCACATCAATGGCAGTCACCCTTTGTCCCCATGGATCTGGCCACATCAGCTGGAAAGTTGTTGATGGAACCCCCATTCACCAGAAATGTCCATCCTTGAGGTTGCAGAGTGGGGACATGTAACCTGACAGGAACATGCTGGCATGGACATACCTCCATAGCCTCAATTTGCCTGTCTCTGAAGATGCTGCTGATACTGCTGTTGAAGCCAGTTCCAGAAAACATGCATGTGATTGGGTAGGTCAGGTCCAGTATGGTCTTCACCATTTGACATCATATCCTCTGCCCACTGCTTGACCCAGATCTGTATCTGCCTGTAGCTCCACTCCTCAGTGAATAGGGCTCCCATGAAAGCCCCAACAGATGTTCCTCCAACCATGTCCACAGGGATGCCACCACTAGGACCTTGAGGATACTACCTGAGCACAGCCTCTGACTCTCACAAGACCACAGTCAGTGAGGCAAAGACACTGACTTAGAGAAGGAATCTAAGTGTAATTTAAAATTCCTCTCCCTGGAGGTGTACAGGTGACTGGAGCTGAACTGGGGAAGTAGGGGTTTACTAAGGAGAACTAGCTTGTAGCTTCTACCTACTGCTGAGAAGCTGAACAGGCTTTTGCTTCACTTGAGAGGAGGTAAAACTGGAAAGAAGGGGTCTTGGTAAACACCCCATGGGCCACCCTAGAAGTCAGGGTGACTTGGAAATGGACCAGGCCTCACAGAAACCAGAAATCCAGTTCCCCATTTCTTCAAACCTAGACTGAAGTTATGACCCATAACCTGAAAATACTGCTGTCATTTACATGCTGAATTTCATGCTACCACTGAACCAAAAATAACCAAAGAGGGGAAAAAAGCTCAATTCAACTTTTTGAAAACTGAAATGCTGAAATACATCAAAGCCTAGATATTTTTAGAAGGAGCTAATAACTACTATAAAATTTCATAGCAATCTGTTTTGATTGATAGCAGACAAGCATTTCTAATAAGCGTCCCAAAGACAAGAAAAGGAATGTTCGAGATGTTAGTTTTAACTAAGAAATGCATCCATGTTGAAATACCTGAGACTTTGCAAGAGGCTGATAATAAATAATACAATCCAGTCTGTCTTTCCACCTTCTTGTACCCTTCTGTACCGATATTTGAGGTAAAAAGAAAAGGTTGGGTGTGGTGGGGCACACCTTTAATCCCAGCACTCAAGAGGTTGAGGCAGGTGACTCTGAGAGGGAAGCCAGCATGGTGTACAGTGAGTTCAAAGCCAGCTGGGACTACAGTGAGACCGTGTCTCAAACAAAGGGATTGCGGGGGTTGCTGGTAAAATGACTTAGTGGGTAAGGGCACTTGCCACTAATATGACCCAAGTTTGATCCCTGGAACCCACATGGTTGAAAGAGAGAACCGACTCCCTCAAGTTGTCTGACTTCCACAAGCACATACATATGCAAACACACATGTATCATGTAATAAAAAATAAAGTGCAGAGTGAAAGAGGAAGACACCAGATGTCAACCTCTGGCCTCTGCACATGCATACATAATGCATGCACCTACATACTCATGTGCACACATTTGTGTAATACAGAATAACCCACCCTTTGCATTTCCCGTGCCATATAGCAGGCTTTAAAGCAGAGACATACACATTTGGAATCAGAGAGGACTTGAATCCGATTTCATGTTCTATCACATTCAGGCAGAATGGAGAAAAATGTCTCAACATCTCTGAAAAATGGAGGTGAAGATTAACAACCTGTTTTGAAACAGCATGAACAGTTTTGTGTATGTAGGAAAGATTTGCCTTTTCATGCAAGATGTGTCTGCAGATGCGCTTTACTTAGGACCATGGCTTTCTGGTGGAGATTGAAAATCATGTGGCTAAGATCCTTTCCCCCCTAATCCTGATGGGAAAAAGAACATGATGCCAACAAGATACATCTATGTTCAAAATTAAATGTGTTGTCTTGGAAAGCCACTCTATTTTGTAATGGATCATCTAAATCCATTTTCCAGATAGCCAGCCAAGTTTATCTCATGACCAGAGCTGTCATTTTCCCTGATAGGATGAAATCAAGGAACAGCAGGCTAATTTTTGAAGCAGTGTCTGAAAAATGTTGGAAGTTCAATGGATAAACCTTGCAGAAATTGTGTATGGAAATCACGAAATGAAGCTTCATTTTCCAACTTCTATTTCCATCTCTCTGACTAAATAGCCATATTGAAGCATCTATTATAGATCAAGGATATTACAAATCCTCAACCTAAAGTCCTAATCACAGATAAAATGACATAAAAATACAGGGAAATGTTCACTTTTGACCTACATTCCAGAAAACCTACATAGAAGACAATAATGCCTTTCAAGTCTTTTGAAACACTTCACATTTTCTTCCAAAGCACGATTTAAAAAGTGAAAAGTGGGGGGCTGGAGAGATGGCTCAGCAGTTAAGAACACTGTTCTTGCAGTGTTCTTGTATCCCAGCACCCATATGGCAGCTAACAGCTGTCCATAACTCCAGTTCCAGGGGATCCGACAGCCTCTTCTGTCCTCCACAGTCATTGCACAACATGGGTGCACTTACCTACATGCAGGCATAACACTCATACACATAAAATAAAAATAATAAAATATTTAAAAAGTGAAAATGCCTGGGGTGATGGCTCAATCAATTATGTGTCTTGCTGTGCAATCTTGAGGACCTGAATTTGATCCCTAGCACCCATGTGAAAGCCAGGTGTAGCTGTGTGCTTCTGCCCCCAGCATTTGGGGGCAGAGACAGGTGGATCCCTAGATCTCAATGGCCCGAAAATCTAGCCAGTCAGCTCTGGGTTCAGTGAGAGAGACACCCTTTTGAAAAATAAGAGTTAATGAAGACAACTTTGACCTGGCTTCCACAATCATCTGCACACATGTGCATGTGCACCATGCATCCATGTACACATACAAATTCATACACATGTAATGCACATGTACACATACACAAATGTGGGAATGACTTTTTTATTTTTGGTCTTTTTGAGACTGAGTCTCCCTATAGTCCCAGCTGGCCTGGAACTCACTAGGTAGACCAGGCTGGCCTTGAACCCACAGAGATCTGCCTGCCTCTGCCTCCCAAGAGCTGAGACTAAAGGCTGGGAATGACTTTTACCTAACTGTGTAACCAAAAAGTTAATTTTATGTCTTGAGACCATATAATACTATCTCAGATTACTTAAGACATAAAACAAGTTTATTAGGCCTTGGGCTCCTCTTGTAACCTAATATACACCTTTAATCCCTCATGACCTTTTCTTGCCCTTGACTGAGAACAATGTATATGCTGTACCTATCAAGCACTACATGCAGAAGCTATTTGTTGAAAGCAACAAATTATCCCATTTGTGTTGCAGACAATAGGTGGGATTAGATTGATAACATCTGTTTTTGATTGTCTGTGCTCTTCTAGGTGAGTAGGAATTAGAAAGGGAAAATTCCCTGATAAATTCTGTCTTCCCTATTTCATGCTGGATGTACAGGTTTTTTTTTTTTTTATGTGTATATGTATATTGCCTGCATGTAGGTAAGTGCACCCATGTGCAATGCCGGTGGAGGACAGAGGAGACTGTCGGATCCCCTGGAACTGGAGTTACAGACAATTGTTAGCTGTCATGTGGGTGCTGGGATTTGAACCTGGGTCTTTTGCAAGAACAGTCAGTGTTCTTAACTGCTATCTCTCCAGCCCCCAGTACAGTTTTAATAAAGAGAGGAAGGCCTTTATCTGAGAGCACTGTTCCAGGAGAAACCTGAAGGAACAAGTTCTCAGGACAGGTTGGTCCCCACTCTTGGATGAATTGGATGCTAAGAGTCAGGTTGGTTTTATTCAGGCTGTCATGTAGCATTGCACTGCCACACACAAAGGCCAGGTACAGTGGCACACACCTGTAATCCCAGTCCTGGGGAGGCGGAGACAGGAGAGTCCTTGGATCTTGTTGACCAGTTAGTCCAGCCAAATCTGTGAGCCCCAGGTTCAGTGAGAAACCCTGCCTCAACAAATAAGATGAAATGATTGAAGAAGATACCTGACATTGACCTTTGGCCTCCACACACATGCTCAACCGTGTATATACATACGATTTGAAGAATTTCTAAAAATCAAGTGGGGGCAAGAAGGATGGATCATTTTATAAAATGCTTGCCATGAGGACTAGAGGTCGGATTCTCAGAACCTACATAAAAGCTGGGTGGGTGTGGGTGCCTACCTATAATCTCAAGTGTCCTGGAGGCAGAGACAGTGATTCCCGGGTGAGGCTAGCTATACTAGCAAATCCACAAGTTCAAGGTTCAGTGAGAGACCCTCAGTGAAATAAAGTGGAGAATGATCGAGGAAAGCAACTGATACCAACCTCTGGCTTCCACATGTTCATGCACACATGTACAAAGGCATTTACACACATCTGCCCATGAACTTTTGAACATGCATTCACACCAAAGTGAAGAGTGGTGCTTAGAGCAAGGTCTTTATGCCTTAGTTTTTTTATCTAGAACTTGTCCAGATGTTATGAATGGGCTAAAGCACATAGAGGGCCAATCAGTAACGATCAATATTTACTACTATCACTATAATTGATAAGTATATTTAAAATTTCTGCCTGCCGGCCACGCTCACCACGCGGAAGCCTTCGGAGAAAAGCCTCGCGATTGGCGCTCAGCGGAAGCCGTCACTTCCGCTGTCGCCCCGAAGGTGTCGCCCCTGGACGAGACGACTTCCGGGTCGCAGAGGCCGCCTTTGGCGGCGCAAACATCCGTGTTTGCTGGTGTCCAGTCTATGGAGTCAGTTGGCGCGGAGGCAGGAGGCGGTGTCCGAGTGGGGGCCGCTGCCCCGCCAGGATGTTTCCGGGCCTGGCCGCCGCCGTCGCGGCCCATAGGTGCAGCTGGGCTGCGTTGTGCCGGCTCCGTCGCAGCCGGCCAGAGGCCAGCGGCCGCAGCCAGGGTGAGTGACCCGCGGAAGCCGCGCTAGCCGCGGGTGGTAGCCCGCTTACCCTCCCCAGTCCCTACGGCCTCTGCCTGCTGTGCCCAAGGTCCGGCGCACAGCCGCCGCAGAGCCCCGCGCGAGCCGGCTGGCGCGGTTCTACCCCGAAGCTGACCACCAGATGGAAGGATAAGTGTGCATCGCGGTGACCCAGTGACCCACCCAGCCAGCCGGAAATGGTTCTGCCAGGGTCTTCTGAGCTCCCTGTCCTGCTTCATTTGACTCCTTAGGTTGAGTGAGATATTCGTCCGCTGTTCTCCTCATAGTGCCGACTCATTTCTTAAATTCCCCAAAAGAAAAATGGGCATGTCGCATATTATAGCCCTTTCTTAAGTGTGAGGGCTTCCCACAGTCATTGAATGAACCTAGTTTGGGGACTTTTCAGTTCCATTAAATAATCCTTTCGGTGAAGAAGATGTTTCCTGGGACTGTAACCCAGAAAAAAAGGTGATGAGAATTTTTATCTCCTAGAACATTCTTTTCTGATCCAAATTTAAGTTGTTGTAGGATTTCTAAAATAGTATTGAACTGGTAAGTTCTATTCCTGTTCGTCTCCCTGGTTTCCATAGATACCTTCGCATGCCATAGCTTGACACCCTATAGCTTGACACTGAGGACTCAGCAGAGCCTCGAGGAAGAAGACAGGACTAAATCTACCTATGATAGCCGAATGAATCCCCAGGTTCTTGGGAGTTAAAAAGAGTGTTTACAGAAAAATTTCTCAAATATTCATGTTTCAAAAACTTGTGGCGGGAGTGGAGAGATGGCTCAGCGGTTAAGAGCACTGACTGCTCTTGTAGAGGACCCGGGTTCGATTCCCAGCACCCACATGGCGGCTACGAACCGTCCTTAACTCCAGTTCTAGGGAAATCGGAAGCTCTCTTCTGACCTCTGCGGCATTGCAAGACACAGGTGCACTCATATACATGCAAGCAATACACTCATACACATAAAATAAAATAGAAAAACACTTGTAGCATGTTTTTGACCTCCCATTGGAAATCGAAAGCTGCAGCCAGTCAGGCTTTTAAGTGGTAAAAGCTGTTCCAGTAAGGTAGACTATATTCCCATCTTATTTGTAGTAAATATAAAAGCTGGCTCCTAAAATCACAAGTGAATTTATTGAAATAACACTGATTTTAGGGCTTTTTTTTCCTTAGTGGCAAGAAGTACAGCTATGGAGTGTTCCCATATTGGCAATATGCCTGATTACCTTGGGAACAGAATGAATCATCTGCTTTTATACTGTACTCCACAATCAAACCCTAAGTAAACAGACACAATTGCTTATGTTGATCAAGAAATTTTGACGTTTTACACTGAAATTGCACATAGTGCTAGATTTAGTTCAAACTGCCCTTTAAGTATTGGTAAGAGGAGTTGAAATAGTGTAATTTTGTAGTCTTTATTCTGTGTAGCTGTCATCATTCCAAAAATGATACACCCTTTGTCTCATCTGTCTGTGCAACATAGATAATAATTACCTCTCTCCAGTCAGAATGACTTTGCAAAGCTTTTTGGAATGTTCATTACTACAAGGAACTTAAGTGTTTTTTACACTTAAAAACCCTATTAGGTTTGAAAAGCTTGTTAGGGGAACTTAGTAACTGTGGAAGGGCGATCATAAATATCATAAGATTTTTAAAAACGTGGAAAAGGATCACTACTTAAGTTGTATGCGTGCAACAGGAAAAGATTGTTTAATGAGGTTTTGGGGGGAGATATCCAAAACCAGATGTTTTTCTTAATAGAAATAAAATTTAGGTTTTGCTTCTAGAATGCTTACCTGTCTAATGAAGACTTCTAAAGAATAAACAGGAAGGAAACCTTGAGGGAAATCATTGATATAAATAATATCTGTAAAAGCGAAGAAGGAATACAGTAGTCAAGAGCAGTGCTCTCTAGTATGAGAGCCATATAAGTAATTTTGAGTTGTTTTTCAAAAAGTAAAAATAGATTAATTTTAATATATTTTGCCTAGTATATTAAAATAGTTCAACATACAATTGTAAAAATTATTGAGCTATTCCCGATTTTGTATTGTCTCAAAATCCAGTGTGCATTTTTCACTTACCCACCATAGTTTGGACTAAGCACTCGCTGTACACTGTCTGTTGGATGGTGTAGTTAGTGTCCTTTCATTTATCATTTATCATTTATCATTTTTATGGGCGTGGTGGCTCACGCCTATAGTCCCAGCACTCGGGAGGCAGAGGCAGGCAGATCTCTGTGAGTTCAAAGCCAACCCTGGTCTACATAGTGAGTTCCAGGACAGCTAGGGCTACAGGGAGACCCTGCTTCAAAAAGACCCCCCAAAATATTATTTTTAAACTTTGTGTGTATAAGTGTATTGCCTGCATGTATGTAAGTGCACCCATGTTGTGCAGTGCCTGCAGAGGTCAGAAGAGAATGTTGGATCCCCTGGAACTGGAGTTCCAGACGTTTGTTAGCCATTATGTGGGTGTTAGGAACCAAATCCATGTCCTCTGCAAAAGCAGCCAGTGCTCTTAACTACCGAGCCATCTCTCCAGCCCATAAGAAAATTTTACATACCAATATATGTTAAATACAAAAATAGACAAAGGAAATGAGTATTTAGTAGCCAATAGAAATGCAGAAATGTTCCATAGTTATTAAAAAGTATACTGCTCACTACCTTTTAAAAATATTTATAAAAACTTTATTTTTATTTTTCATGTATGATTGTATTGCCTGCTTGTATGTAAGTGCATCCATGTCACACAGTGCCTTAGAGGCCAGAAGAGGGCATTGGATCCCCTGGAAATGGAGATAAGGACAGTTGTTAGCTAGCTGCAGTGTGGGTTCTGGGAATTGAACCCAGGTCCTCTGCAAAAGCAGCCACTGCTCTTAACTGCTGAGCCAGCTCTTCAGCCCCCCAAAAGTAAACTGCTCACCACCTATCTTACATTGGCTAAGTTTTTTTCTCTTTTTTTATTTTTAATTTTAAAATGTGTGTGGGGGTGCTTGTCCTGTGTACATGCCCTAATTGGGCACTGGATCACTTGGAGCTGGAGTTATGGGTATTTCTTATAGGTATTTGTGGGACTTAACTACTGAACCATCTCTTCAGCACCTTAAGTTTTTCTTACTGATGATACTGTATATAGAAGATGCAGGCGTACTCTTATACTATTTGGAAACAGAATTGAACATTGTTTTAGGAGGTAGTTATTCTTTGTATAAAATTAACTTTAAGAAGTTTGTGCCACCTGACCTAACAATTCCTCTTAAAACAATTTATTTTAAATAAATAGGTGCATATTAAAATGTGTGTCACAGTTCATTACTATAGAAATAAATTGGTAGCTTATTTATAGTTACAGTATTTATGTTAGGTGCTTTTTAAAATTTACTTTTTTCCACCTCTTTTTTGAGACAGGTTCTAGCTGTATACCTTAGGCTGGCCTCAAACTTGTGATCCTCCTGCTTCTGTTTCCAAGTGTTGGGATTATAGGCAGCTTTTACTTTTTCTAAGCAAATGTCAAAGTAATTGGGTAAGACAATAGAGATACACTCCAAGGTATAGGGCAGGGAGTTGTCAGTATCTCCTGTTATTGCCTAACTCAAAAAAAAAAAAAAAAAAAAAAAGAATGGCCTGTTTATTCTACTGTATATTCATTAAAATCAGTTGTAGTCTCAGCCAGGCTACTGTGTCTTGGTCCCACTTTTTCTTGCTAGCTGAGGAGGCAGAATTTTCCTCCAGTTTGGGCTAGCAAAAAGGATAAAAAGTAAATTGGGATTAGTCAGTGTGTTAACATGACACAGACTTTGTCCCAAGTTGTGATGATGGTGTCAGTAAGATCTTAATGAAGTTCTATATGGCTTATCAGTAGATGGTATTTTTAGTTTCTTTTTATTGTACATATTTTTAAGATTTAGAAAAGTATAGGGTAAACTAAAAATTAAGTATAATTCAGGTAGTTTATCAGGCACATTTAAATGATTGAAACCATATTGAGTTAGTCTTTTTTCCATGCAATATCGTACGATGAGAATTTGTGTATATTAAAAGTTTTTTTGGATTTATTTTTATTTTATGTTGTTGCACTAAATTTTCCCCTTTTCCCTTCTTGGGAGGCTCTTGGGGCCCTCTGAGGCCCCAGGGCTCACAGACTAACGTAAGACACTTTTAGTTTGGGTTTTGTACTGTTTTATGACTTTGGGAGGGAGTGACTTACAAGGAAACAGCTTCTCAAGACCCAAGTATCATTCAAGCCCCACCCGCAGTATCCATTAGCGTTCATGTACTGTGCCCACAGTCTTAAGTGTCCCATTGCATGCCCACAGGAAGCTGCGGTTTGCCCCAGCAGCCCCACATAGCCTTTTTCCCTTCCAATCTCACCACCTTACTAACTCTCCACAGCTAACTCTCCTGTAGCTGACTCTTTGTCTCCCAGGCAGCTCCACCCCTCTTCCCAGGGTGCTCCTTGTCTTGCCCCTGTCTGGCTTACACTTTTCAGAGGAATGAGTAATTTTTCGGGCTACATATGTGTATGAGTGTATTGCTTGCTTGTATGAAAGAATAGCCTTAATGGGGCTAGAGAGCTGACTCAGTGAAGAGCACTGGCTGCTCTTGCAGAGAACCCAGTTTCGATTCCCAACACCCACAATGGCAGCTAACAACCGTCCTTAACTCCAGTTTCAGGGGAACCTGATGCTCTTCTGACCTCTGCGGGCAATGCATAACATGAGTGCACTTATACACATGCAGGCAATACATTTATACACATAAAATAACAAATAAATTAAAAAAAAAAAGAATAGCCTTTATGCCAGGCATGGTAGCACATGCCTTTAATTCCAGCACTTGGGAGGCAGAGGCAGGCAGATCTCTGTGAGATCAAGGTAAACCTGGTCTACATAGTGAATTCCAGACCAGCTGGGGCTAGAGGGAGACCCTGTCTCAAAAAGACCAAGAAAAAGAATAGCCTTTACTTTTA